GGGATATTTTTGGGGGGGTTTTTGGGGTGGGGGAGGGGTCCGGGGGGCGTTTGGGGACATTTTTGGGGGGATTTGGGGTCGTTTTGGGGGATTTGGGGTCGTTTTGGGGGATTTGGGGACGTTTTGAGGGGATTTGGGGTCGTTTTTGGGGGATTTTGGGGCCGTTTTGGGGGATTTGGGGCAGTTTTTGGGGGATTTGGGGCCGTTTTTGGGGGGATTTGGGGGTATTTTGGGGGTTTACAACCCGCGCCGGAGTCCGGAGGGGGAGGGGCGGCTCCCCCTCCCCCACCCCGCGCCATTCCGGAGCGCGGCCCCTTTAAGAGCCCCTCCCCCGTTTTTTTTTTGGGGGGGGGGGTCCCGAACCTCTCCCCTCCCCCCCCCCACGTTCATTTTGGGGTCCCCCCGGTGGGGGAGGGGCGGCCGAACCCCCCTCCCATCCCCCCACGTGGTCTGCTCAGGCCCCGCCCCTTCCGCGCGTTGGCCCCGCCCCCTTTTCCCTTGTGTGAATGAGCTCGGCGAGGGGGGCGCGGCTTCAACAGCAGCAGCCAATCAGCGCAAAGAGCGGGCGCGGCTTTGCAGCAGCGACCAATCAGAGCCCAGCGGGGGCGTGGCCCGGGCGGAGCGGACCAATGGCGGCGCGGGGGGGGCGCGGCCCGGGCGCTTCTTAAGGCGGCGCCGGGCGGGGGGGGGCCCTGAGCGGAGCCCGGAGATGTCGGCGAGTCACGACAGTCGGTGCGATAGCGGCGGGGGGAGGGGCGGCGGGGCCTGCCCGGGGCACGGCGGGGGGTGGGGGAGGGGCGGCGGGGCCGCGTTCTCCCGTTCCCGCCGCCATTTCCTGAGGGGAAACCTGGCGCCGTTTTCCCTTTTCCCGCTCGGTTCCGCTCTCCCGCCGCCGTTTCCCGCGGGGTTTTTTCCCGGTTTTTTTCCTCCCGGTTTTTTTCCACCCGCGGTTCCCTCCCTTCCCCTCCCCCCCCCCACCCCCCCGGCCCCCCCCCACGTGGTCGGCGCCGCGCGCGCGCCTCCATCGTCCCGGCGGGCGC